ATAGCGAACACCTGGTGCCTTCATTCAGATTGCGCATTTGTTGGAACATGTTTGTCATATCCGAAGCCCCTGGGGAACATGGGGAGAATGGTTCCAAGACTGTTGTTATGCTTTTGTCTAGGTTTTGAGGAGGCAAGTCTTGGAGCATGGTAGTCACAAGCAACACCATTGAGATATTTGTTGGTGTGCCTTCTTCAAGATTTTGAGGAGGATTTTCTTGATTCATGATGGCCACAGACAACCACCGTGAAACAATTGTTGTAGTGTCTTCATTAAGATTTTGAAGCAAGGTGGTTGACGATGACTCTAAAACATTTGTTGTCACTATACTGTCTGTTACAAGATTGGAAATTTTGGTAGATAAAGTCATTAGTTGAAGGCGGGATCTTTTATTTGATTCTCTTTCTAGGCATGCTCGGCGACGACGGCTCGGTGGTAAAGAAGGAAAAAATCTAGGCTGAATAAGGGCACAATGTTTTGATCGCTCTCTTTCGTGACATGCAAGTTATCTCAATTGACGTTTGGAACACTCATTTTCTTTCCCAACATAACGCATTTCTGGAGCAAGCCTTGCACATTGCGGCAATGTTGATTTTGATATAACATTATAGTTTGGTGCCTAAACCACAAACTCATAAAAAAATAATTATTATTTTATTAATTTAACATATATCGTATCGTTTTTCACTTTGTATATATAGCAACGCAAGGTAACATGACAAATCATAGTGCTACAATGTTAACAGTAATACGGATCAAAATATTTACTAAACTCTTATTATGTAACAATGTTGCATTAACAGAACCATTTACCCAACCATTTATCAACATTATAATTATGATAAAATTTTTGTTTGATGCAAAAATAAAACACCATAGCCACAGTTGCATGCAACACATTGTTTACTAATTACTGGACATATGGTAAAAAATGCAATATCATATTATACAGTAACATGTTCTATAGTATTTATCAACATTATAATTATAATAAAGTTTTTGTTTGATGCAAAAATAAAACATCATAGCCACAGTTGCATCCAACACATTGTTTATTAATTACTGGACAGATGGCAAAAAATACAATATCAGATTATAGAGTAACATGTTCTATATTACCAGCTTGAAAGGTATGCTATATATAAGATGAAAATATGTTTCAAACTACTGGAAAAGGTTGAGGTTTCACTATTGATCGATACTTCAAATTATGGAATGTTCAAACAAATTTAGAGTTTTAAAAAATGGGACCCAACAAACGATTCAAAAGCATAAAGGCTACAAATCAACATTAAAATTAAGAAACTAAAACTCTCAACTACAAAACTAGTAAAAAAAAATAAAAAAATCATAGTTTCCCAGTAATTCAATTGTATACACAGAATAACCCGATTAAAAAAAATAATATTAAATGAGACAAACCAAAAACATGTTGACAAATCAAACGTTCTACATAAAACAAAACTTAAAAAATTTTAAATTCAATAACATCCAAATCCATTATAAAAACATAGAGAAAAGAATAGGATTAAAAGTGATATCAGTTGGCAATCTTGATTTTTTGTTCCTAGGCTAGAAGCGGTTGCTTTTTCTTTCTCCTTAAATTTGGCATTCGCCAAAGCATCAGACATTTTTTTCTCCTTCTGTGTAAGAAAATGCTACTTAAAAGCCAAAAAAAAAATGAATGAGAAATAGGTGTGAGAATACACTACCTCACGTATACGGAGACAATTTAGTTCATACTCATTGCGAATTACCACTCCTACATTATTATGACGAAGTCTTCAAACCTGTAGACCAAAAAAATATTGAATAGTAAGTAAGCGGGTAAAAAGATTAGATAAAAAGTAAGAAAATGATGAGTAAGAAAAACTTATCATACTGTATTTTCTAGGTCGTCATCCATCTGTCACGACATTAATAAAAATACATTAAAATAAATAAGTTATTAAAAAAATCAATAAGATATGTTTAGAGAGAGTTAATCAGATGATAAACTTACACTGCCAAATATAACGACATCATCCATTGGTCGATGATTGTGCAGTTGAAACGGTTGTAGCTACATAGTAATTTTCATAAGCTATGTATAATTAACATCAATTACAATGAAATTTCATACAATTAACCTGCATTTAATCAAACATAATACATACACAAAATTACATACACATCCAATTCCTAAAACCAAAATTAAGGAAAAAGACAACCTAAATTAGTCTATAAATTTCACAAAATAAACACTACATAATAACCAACTCAACATGCATTACATCCTAACATTCATAATAAAAAAACTTATTTCATCATAACTATAAACCTATTTCATAGTAAAAATAAAAATAAAAACAGCCAAATTCAAAGACACCCAATTAAAAAAAAACAACCTAACACTTGTAACTAAATAAAAAAAAAATACTTCCAATTAAACACCCAATTAAAAGACACTCAATTTAAATGTGTGTGTGTGTGTTTTGTGTGGTGTTGTGTGTGTGTGTACTACTGCTGTGAAAGAGAGAGAAAGAGAGATAGAGTGAGAACACAAATTAAACACCCATTGTAAAAAAATTCAAATTTAAAACACTCAAATTAAACACAAACATTCAAAAACTGAAGCTGTCGTCGACTTTAAATATTCTTTGTATTTATTATTTTATAAGAAGATTTATAATGAAATAGATAAGAACACACAATAATAACTAACTCAACATCCATTCCATCCTAATATTCATAATAAAAAAAACCTACTTCATCATAACTATAAATCTATTTCATAATAAAAATAAAAACATCCAATTAACCACCCAATTTAAATGTGTGTTTGTGTGCAAATGTGTGTGTGTTTTGTGTGTTATTGTGTGGGTGTGCTACTGCTGTGAAAGAAAGAGAGAGAGAGAGAGAGAAAACACAAATTAAACACCTATTATAAAAAAAAGCCAAATTTAAAACACTCAAATTAAACACAAACATTCAAAAACTGAATCTGTCATCGACTTTAAATATTCTTTGTATTGATTATTTTATAAGAATACTTATGATGAATTAGATAAGAACACTGATCAATAATAATCAACTTAACATCCATTTCATCCTAACATTCATAATAAAAAAAACATATTTCATCATAACTATAAACCTATTTCATCATAACTATAAACCTTTTAATAAAAATAGCCAAATTAAAAGACACCCAATTTAAATGTGTGTGTTTGTGTGCAAATGTGTGTGTGTTTTGTGTGTTGTTGTGTGTGTGTGTGTGTGCTACTGCTGTGAAAGAGAGAGAGAGAGATAGAGTGAGAACACAAATTAAACACCTATTGTAAAAAAAATCAAATTTAAAACACTCCAAATTAAACACAAACATTCAAAAACTGAAACTGTCGTCGACATAAATGGAAGATCCACACTGCCTTTAAATAGACAAAGAATTCAGAGATACACAAATTTCAAGGATCTGCATCTCCTCTACGTATGTTTTTCCTTAATCTTGCATGGTAATTCATGCACCATAATAAAGTAAAACCCACTGCAGAGAGTTTTTTCCATAATGCTCAATTCACAGCATAGAAAATCCGGTACAAACTAATTCAACTAATACAACATTGGAACGAATGAAGTTAGCCTCAACTATAGTTATAGATTAACACAACTTTACAACCACTTTCTCATTTCTATTAGGAATATCATCGAACGGGTTTTGGACAAGTATATACCAAGTGAATGTATATGAATGTAAAGATAAACTTAACTATCTGAAAACACAAAGAAATGAAGAAAAAAATATATACCAAGTGAAGTACGAACACAGACTATTTGCACCAATCTAAAGCTAACAAAATTTAAAAAAAAAAATCATAAACATCTTTATGCACATAAAACCATAGAGAAAAAAATATATGAAAAGTCATACCAGTTGACAAACTGTAGCTTTTTCTTTCCCCTTAGATTTGGCTTTCGTAGATGAATTTGACATTTTTTCATCCTTTAATAATAAAAAAAAAAGAACAATGCATATAATGTAAGAAAACACTAATAAAAAATGTTGCAGTATGTTGTTTAAGCTATTGCCACTTCAAAATTTACCAAACTTATTTCAAAGAATATTACATTCAAACCAATTGAACATTTAAAAAATCCAAACTATAACATTCAAAACAATTTAACATCCAACCTAATCTATGTTGCCAATCCACCTTTAAAGCCTTAGATAGCAATGATTGGCAGCCCTTCAACGAAGTATAGAACCTTAGCTACCCACAACAACATTCATAATCGAATAATGAGGAAGACATTATATTTTCAGACAAAATACTCATTGCCGAACAACATTCAATCAATAGAGAATTACAATGCAAAAATGAAAAGGCATTGTACTTATGTTTGAGTAGATTGGAGTGCACCCAAATTGGAAAATGTCTTTTCATTAGAAAAAAGCCTCGAATTTTTCTAATGAAAAAGCATTTTTCAAATGAAAAGGCATTGCCTTAATGCAAGAATTACATTTAATCAATAGAGAATTAAATTCATCAAGTTTCACGTGCAAACAAATTGGAAAAAAGTAGTTAAATAAGTTGAATTGCTTTAAGAGCAACAATTTGTGAATACAGATAACTTCAAACTATTCATCATGGTCATGTTCTCATCCAAAGCTTAACGATTACACCTGGGCTGGGCTGATTAATCAAAGACCCAAAGCGTAAACAATTACACTCTATTTATTTAAACAAAGAAGATTAATCAAAGACCCAAAGCTTCAACAGACAAAGAAGAAAGAAGATAAAAGAAGAAACCCCCATTGCACCTAGTAGCTTACCTCCTCTCAAGAAGCAAGTGACCCCAGTGAAGCAAGCTATGCGTATGCAATGTAACACTAAAATTAAGTGATTTATGGGTATGGCTCATTCTGCTTCCAAACCAGAAAAAGGGTTGTGCAAATAGGAAAATTTAAAGAATATGGACACAAAATCAACAAAGGCAACCACAAAAACAGTAGCAACACTATGCCTGAACCGAATTTAGGGGCCTATGGTGGGATATGCAGTGGTGGATTTTGTTTGGGGGGATGGGGAGCAAGGAGTCAGATAGAAGAGGAAGAGGAAGAGGAAGAAAGAGATAGATGGGGTCGTTTGGCGTTGGCGATGGGCAATGACATGGTGTGGCAGGAAAACAGAAAGTAAGGGGAGATGAATTAACACCCAATTTCAAAACCCTAAATTAACACCCAATTCAAAACCCTAGATTAACAAATTGGGTGTGCCGTGATGTATGTGTGTGCATACTCTGGGTGGGTGGGTGGGGGTGTGTTCAACTCTGTGTTTGTGACTGTGTGCGTGTGTAGAGAGGGAGGTGAGAAAGAGAGAGGAGAGAGAGCAGAGCAGAGTTTACCTGGGTCGGTGGGGGTGGCCGGTGAAGGTTGAGAGGGAAGAGAGAGGTCGCAAAGGAGCAGACTGGCAGCGAGGAGAAGAAGAAGAGGGACGTTGGGCTTTGGGGAGTTGTGTTTGACAATTGAGTTAGGCACTGTAAAGGTTTGGGCGGGATAAATTTTTTGTGTGGAATGTACTGTCGGCCTTTGGATTAACTTGGAATAATGGAGATAAAACCTAGGCCATTAAATTAAAAGTAGATTAAATCTGAGTCGTCCTTGTGCTTTCCTAAATTTTGATTAAATTTTGAAGTAAAAATTAATTCAAATTGGGTTCTATCTTATTAGTATTAGTATAGATGAAAGAACATGGGACCGTTTAAGTGGGTACAGAAACTATTGTAATGAATCCATTCTATTGTAATTATGAAATTCTTTCATACGTTTTTTATGAGTTCTTTTGCACCGAGTCAAAGATAAATCCCACCAAAATTTCATTTGGGGTATATAAATCCCACCTAAAGTAATTATATAGGTACTTAGTAAAAAAGATGATCTCTTAGTCCGGCACACCCACTGGGATGAAAAACTATTATGACCATGCTGCACTAAATAATGGTAAAAATCTATAGCTACACCCACACACAGAATTGTATACACACTTAAAAAAAACATATCAAACCAACATTATGTATGCAAAATCCAGTCCCCAAAAGGTACCATCACTTAATCAAAAGATTGGGACCCCTCCCACTCATCTAATACAATCCAAAAGTGAAAAGATTATAATAAAGTAAACATTTTTGCAATTGATCGAGTAAATAAGCAAAATGTAGACCTTGTTTTATGGGGTTTGTGGGTACTGTTCTTTTCTGGTGTGCGGGCTCGATCCTGCACGATATATAAAATATTGGGAACAGATCTCTCCCCTGGTGAACTCTGAGTGAGCCGGTTGAGTGGCCAAACACGCTGCTTGAAACAACCTTCGAGGCACGGTGGCAACCTGGAACGGCAAAGGAAGGCCGTGGGAAAGGAAGAACGATCCTGTACGTGTGAAAGTATTTCCTGGAACAAAGGAGAACAAGTTAGAAGGGCGCCGGAGTGTTTTCCGGCGTATCCCCTCCGACGGTCTAGTCAGTCTTTGAATGAGAGAGAGGAAGGAGAAAACACTGAGAAGGATATTTCGTAGTAGAGAGTTTGTGATTGCATACCGGCTTTGTCTTTTGGGAGGGGTATTTATACCTTAGAAGATCATGATTGCTGTCAGTGTGGTCAGTAGGTGATCATCAGGCACAGGTAGCGTGTGTAATCATTTGATGAGGAATGTCTTCTCTAATTGACTGCTCGGGGTCCCGAGCAATCAATGGTGAGTTGTCGGGACGCCGACGGTACAATATGCTCCTTTCGGGAAGGATGCAATAAATGCTCTGTAATATGAGCATTTATTGCCTTTCATATCCGAACCTTACCGCATTAAATGCGGTCTCGTCAACAGAAGGGTGCAATTAATTGTTTGCTTTCCCAAGTCGCGTGCCAGCAGCGGCATGCGGTTTGTCTGCTTCGGATGTGACATTATTTGCCACGCGTCCATCCCTTATTGGCTGTTACGTCGGTATTCCAGCACGTTCTGACATTACTTGTGTAAGAAGAGGTCATGATGAATAGTCTAGACTGGCATAGGCTGATGTCCCGTACGTCAGTAACTTTATCCGTGAGTAGAGGAAGCGTCCAGGATGGAGTGACCCTCGGCGCCGAGGAAAGGCTCACCTCGGGGGACCAAGGGGTGGTGTGTTCCCGAGGTACATGGTGACCGAGGACACATGTCGTTGTATAATGCACCGAATATGTGATCCTATATGAGCGGTACCTCGGGGGAGAGGACGCTTTTGCCGATGGTGCTTGAACCCGAGCAACATTGTTCTAGAAACCCCCCCGAGGACACGTGTCTTCATCATAGGCTTTTCAGAAGAGTCCCATCATCTGGGTATTCTTGTTTTAGGAATACCATCATATCTCTCAGCTTCCACTTAAATGGTCCCATGATTAGAAAAGCCAAAAAACAAACTACGCAGTTGGTGGAATTACAAAGCCAAAATATCAATGAATCCAAAAGAACGAACCCATATCAATGAATCAAATAACTATCAGTGCTTTAATGGAATTATTCGTGAATAGCAGATGAAAGAAACTATTCAGGGAAAAAAAAAAAAGATCATCAAATTTCAAACTACTATTCACGAAACTGTTCAGGAAAAAAAAAAGGATCATCAACTTAAAAAAACCCATTAATTTGAAATTTTCATTTGTTTTAATGAAAGAAATTGAAATCAATCTAACCCTTGTTATTTTTTCAAAAAATTTCAACAAAATTTCTTTTTAAAATAAGAATTCGAAAAAATCTCAACCTATCTACATTGCTAATATATCTCGTTGTGTATATCACTGTCAAACACAAATCATTGCTTTGTCCAACACAAACTACTGCACTCCAATCTCAAGAAAAAAATTACTCAACCTAACCCAAAAATATCATCATTAATCACTACCCAATCTAAACCAAAATAACATTTATCTCTAAATAACTAATGTCACAGTCACATACATGTTATATACGCAAGTCCAACCAAAGATTGACTCATAGCTGAAGATATTATGTAATACAAAAAAAATTCTATTTTGAAATAAGTTGAAGAAAGCTTAATTTAAGCTTATAAAGCTAAAAGAAATAATGCATATCAAATAGAAAAAATTACAAAATTCAAACAAAATATGCATAATTAAGTTGAGCAAGTAAACAAAAAAATCATTACTATTTGATAATAATAATAAAAAAAACTGTGCCTAAAGACACATTACAATTTAAACAAATCTTTCAAATTGAAATAATTTTTCCTTTATTTAATTTATTAAGGAAATTAAAATCAATATAACCCTTTTGACAAAATTTTCTCTAAAAATAGAAACCTAGAGAAATCTCAACCTATCTACACTAACATCAATTGTAACACTGCCCAATAGAAATTATTGTATAAATTATTCAACGTAATTCAAAGAGAACATCAAACTTTAATCACAACATAAGTCAAATCAAAATAACAAAAGTCAGAATCACGTGTTATAAATGCAAGTCCAACCAAAGAATTAAATCCACATAAATAAGAATCATTTGGTTTGAACATTCCATATTTTGAAGCATCGGTGAATAATAAAATTGCAACCCTTGGCAATAGAACAAAACCATGTCAAAGAATTAACATTTAACATTTTTTCGAACACAAAATCAAAACCAAAACAATATGTATGGTAAGATATCTAGAGAGAACTGTTGATTCTTTTTCAACCTTCCATGAGTCAGGGAAACAACAATCTATAATACATGAAACAATGTAGACCACCGGCAATGCCCCAAAATCATGTATTTAAAGAAAACATGCCCCAAATCAATTATAGAACTCACATAATAATTGATTCCACACCTTTAACCTTTAATTTCAATCTTTGTTGTACAAATCACTACCCTTGAACATACGGGAAAAAAAGAAAGAAAGAAATGGCCTTCAAATTTTGAATGAGAAGAAAAATTAACTCATCATAAACAGCATAATTAAAAAATTCTATTGTAAAAATCTCAATGCAATATTAAACGACTTAATGAAATATACCTCAACATTTGTGTAACTCCTTAAACCACCAACAAAGTATATCCAAAAATGATTCCACTGTTCTTGCATCACTTACATGCCCAAAGACAACCAAAAGTTGTCACAGCATCATCATTGTGCCATTAAATACGTATGAAAATTAACTTCTTTTAAGAACAAATAACTTTTGAAATATTAATTCAAAGGTAACGAATGATCATTCATGCAAAGATTCTAGGCCCACAAATTTATATAGTATCTCAGTTGGTTACTAAATAATAGACAACAACTATTCAAAAATCAATGTGGGAAGATATGACCCATGCAAATGGGGGACTGATTCAATTTTTAGATAATGAAAAATAAAAGTAATTCTAGGGATGTGTAAATCACCCCAACATATTCTATGAATGGCCAACACTTTTCTTTTATAGCTCTCCCAATCTCTGCCGGCTACTTTAATAGGCTAAGAAAAAAGCATTTTGCAATATTGAAAACACAATACACTCTAGAAAAAAACCAAAAGATCATCAAAAAAAGATCTCTGATAACCCATTCCTGAATCAATTTCACAAAAAACCATTTCAAACATTTCAAACTATATGATAACCCATTCCAAAAAAATGAAAAATGATAACCCATTCCAAAAAAATGATCACCCATTTCAAACTATGATCTCAACTGATTCGGGTTCCTGAATCAGTTATCAAAAAAATGATAACCCATTCCAAAAAACCATTTCAAACTATCATCAAATTTCACAAAAGAATCGCAAAGACTTGCACATTTGGGGAGGCCTAGGAATGATGTGGATTTGTGGAATGATGTGGGTTCGGCCTCCCTTCATCCCTCCTTCTTCTTTTTTTTTCAAATGTCTCCCTCCTCTCTTGCTCTGCTTCTCTTCTTTTGCCGCCACCTCCTGTTTTGGAATAGGTCTTGAAGGGAGGGTTATGGGGAAGACAGAAAAGGGTTTGAGAGAGGATAGGGTTTGTCAAGGGGTGGTGACGGTGGTAGTGGCTATGGCCATGGTTGCTATTGGGTTGTGAGGAATACAACCGACGTGGGTTGTGATGAAAAGTCGAAGAGCCGAAAAGCCGACGTGGCTCACCAATGGGTTTTGCAGCGGCTCTCCCATGTTTCCTCCCTCTTTTTTGTCGACGGAAGCCTTTC